GTAGTTGTTCACACATGTTTTTAGCGCTAATTCAACTTAATTTTTTCCAAAACATTTCATAATAACGAACAAACCTACATTCCCCAAAAAGTTGTTTAGCACTTTTTTTTCTTTCATTAAACTAGTCAAATTTTTAAGGAAATATTTGGAAATTCAACTTATAAGGGAGGCATAACATAATCAAACAAGCAAATGGTTTTATAAATCTTGTGTTTTTCTCTTGAATAAACCTTAAAACATTTGTCTCTACAATATAATCTACACTTTGTATTAATGTATACCTGAACGAAGGAGGTCGCCTTGTAAACCAATGGCGATCGAAGCAACGGCCATGATGGCAAGACTGGTTATAAGTCTAACGGCCATGACGAACGTGGCGACCACAAGCAATGATTTTAGGTGAATCGTCTTGGTTTAGTTATCTAGTTTCGTTAAAAGAAAAAAGAAAAAAGATTTTATTATGAGGTGAAAAGGACCAACCGAAGCCCATAAACTGAACCCTATAAAAAAATAAAAAATCGACGAATGTGAATATTGCCGTAAGGTATATATTATAGTCACCTAAATCGATTATAGAGAAGAGAAAGAAAAAAGCATCCGCGAGTAGGTCGGTGTATCATGTATGAGATTGAATATAACGAGGACTATTCCCGTCAAGTGAATGAGTAGTGGCGTAAAGTGAATGAATCCGGAGTATGTAATTCTTTCCTTCATCTCCTTAATTGTTTGTTTAGAATTTGATCGATGATTGTGAATCGAATCCGATTACTTGAATCATCATCGGTGTAATGTCCTTGATTTTTCGAAATATTCTTGTCCCCTAATAATAGGGTTTCGACATCGAGGGTGGTCTGCCTGGATTGGTGTCCTACAACTGTCAAGGTCTTAACAATCTCACCATGCCTTTGTCGTCCTTTCTGCTAGGTTGGGTCTTCTTCAACGTTACAATATGGACAAGGTAAAAAACTCCATCTCTTCCTTCTTGACACCATATATATATATGGGTCCTTGTTGCGTTATAATACTAGTACCATCCCTTTCCTTTTTTCAGGGGACAAACTTCGAGCTCCATGCTCTAATCAAATTCAACATGGTGCCGAGTCCAGTTTCTACTTACTTCATAACTCTGGATACAGTTACCCGCCGTCCGCTGCAAACCTTTCAGGTTCAAATTGATCAAAATCTACTTGGCCTTTTGGATATCACTTGTTCTGTTGCTAGAATTACAAGCTGTGTGATTACATATAATGTTGCACAGGAGAGACCACCAATAATAGCCCCTTCATACATATGCATGGCACTTGTACGGAATTGCCTGATTGGCCCTCAGATGATGATGCGTTCAATGATATACAACGCTTTTCCTTGGTAAGAATGGTTTCTACCATCATCA